TTTTGATTGGGGCATTTAGCCCATTTACATTTAAGGTTAATATTGTTATGTGAGAATTTGATCTTGCCATTTTGATGCTAGCTGGTTGTTTTGCCTATTAGTTGATGCAGTTTCTCCATTGTGTTGATGCTTTTCACCATTTGGTATGTTTTTGGAGTGGCTGGTACTGGTTGTTCCTTTCTATGTTTAGTGCTTCTTTCAGGAGCTCTTGTAAGGCAGACCTGGTGGTGACAAAATCTCTCACTGAGCAATTGCTTGGTTGTAAAGTATTTTATTTTTCCTTTAGTTATGAAGCTTAGTTTGGCTGGATATGAAATTCTAGGTTGAAAGTTATTTTCTTTAAGGATGTTGAATATTGGCCCCCACTTTCTTCTGGCTTGTAGGGTTTCTGCCAGGAGATCCACTGTGAGTCTGATGGGCTTCCCTTTGTGGGTAACCCGACCTTTCTCTCTGGCTGCCCTTAGCATTTTTTCCTTCATTTCAACCCTGGTGAATCTGACGATTATTGCCTTGCATTTGCTCTTCTTGAGGAATATCTTTGTGGTGTTCTCTGCATTTCCTGGACTTGAATATTGGCCTGCTTTGCTAGGTTGGGGAAGCTCACCTGGATAATATCCTGGATAGTGTTTTCCAGCTTGGATTAATTTTTTCCATCATATTCAGGTACACCTTTCAAACGTAGGTTAGGTCTTTTCACATAATCCCATATTTCTTGTAGGCTTTGTTCATTTCTTTTTACTCTTTTTTCTCTAATCTTGCCTTCTTGTTTTATTTCATTGAGTTGATCTTCAATCTCTGATATCCTTTCTTCTGCTTGGTCGATTCAGCTATTGAAACTTGTGTATGCTTTGTGAAGTTATCCTGTTGTGTTTTTCAGCTCCATCAAGTCATTTATATTCTTCTCTAAGCTGTTTATTCTCATTAGTATTTCGTCAAACTTTTTTTTCAAGGTTCTTAGTTTCTTTGCATTGGGTTAGAACATGTTCTTTTAGCTCAGAGAAGTTTATTATTACCCACCTTCTGAAGCCTGTTTCTGTCAATTCATCAGACTCATTCCCCAACCAGCTTTGTTCTCTTGCTGGTAAGGAGTTGTGATCCCTTGGAGGAGGAGAGGCGTTCTGGTTTTGGGTATTTTCATCCTTTTTGCACTGGTTTCTTCCCATCTTTGTGGATTTATCTACCTGTGGCCTTTGTAGTTGGTGACTTTTGGATGGAGTCTCAGTGGATGTCCATTTTGTTGATGATGAAGTTATTTCTTTCTGTTTTTAGTTTTCCTTCTAACAGTCAGGCCCCTTTGCTGTAGGACTGCTGGAGGTCCACTCTAGATCCTGCTTGCCTAGGGATCACCCACAGGGGCTGCAGAACAGTAAGGCTTGCTGCCAGTTTCTTCTTTTGTAATCTTTGTCCCAGAAGGATACCCACCAGATATCAGCCTGAGCTCTCCTTTATGAGGTGTCTCTTTGGATATACAGGGGTCTGGGAGCTGCTTGAGGAGACAGTCTGCCCCTTATAGGAGCTCACATGCTGAGCTGTGAGCTCCATTGTTCCGTTTAGAGTTGCTGGGCAAGTACATTTAAGTCTGCTGCAGCAGAACTCATAACTCTCTTTTTTTCCCAGGTGCTCTGTCCTGGGAGGGTGGGGCTTTATTTATAAGTTCCTGACATGCTCCTGTCTTTTTTCAGAGATGCCCTGTCCAGTGAGGAGGCAGCCTAGTCACAGTCTGCCAGCAGAGGCATTGCTGAGCTGCCATGGGCTCTGCCCAGCCAATGTATGAACTTCCTTGCAATTTTGTTTATAGAGGTATAGTTAGAACTGCCTTGGTAATGGTGGTCTCCCTCTGTAATGGCGGACTGCCTCTGTAATGGAGGACTGTCTCCGTAGTGGTAGACTGCCTCAGTAATGGCAAACTCCCTTCCCCCCAACGAAGCTGGACCCTCCCAGGTCCAGCTGCGCTTGCTGCGAAACTCTCAATCCAGAACGTTTCAGATTGATGGTCTTTGTGGATGTGGGACCTGCTGAACCCGATCACCCGGCTCCTTGTTTCAGCCACCTTTTTTTCAGTTAAACAGGCGGCTCTGTATCCTAGGCATTCCAGGCACCAGTTGAAACAACCGCCCAGATTTGTGTGAGTTTTTGTGCAGAGACCTGTGCTGGCTGAAACAGCCGTGCTGGAGACTCGTGGCGCTTTTCAGCCTGGAATCCCCTGGTCTGTGGGCAGTAATAACTCGTTTGGAAATGCAGTGATCACTCACCCTCTGTATTGTTCTCACTGGGAACTGCACTACAGAGCTGTTCCAATTTGGCCATCTTGGATCCCTATCCTTTTTTTTTTTTTTTTTTTTTTTGAGGTTGAGTCCCGCTCTGTTGCCAGGCTGGAGTGCAGTAGCGCGATCTCGGCTTACTGCAACTGCCGACTTGATCGTACAGGCGATTCTCTTGCCTCAGCCTCCCGAGTAGCTGGGATTACCGGCATGTGCCAGCACCCCCAGCTAATTTTCGTATTTTTAGTAGAGACAAGGTTTCATCATGTTGGTCAGGCTGATCCTAATCTTCTAACCTCGTGATCCATCCTCCTCAGCCTCTCAAAGTGCTGGGATTACAGGCAGGAGCCACTGCACTCAGCCATTTAATTGCTTCTTGTTTGAAACCAAAATGTCCGCATTTTACTTAGAATAGTATTGGTTCACCAAGCAATTTGGTGAACAAATTAATTTACAATCAAATTTATTTGAACTGTAAAACAAGTTAATTTGTTTTACAGTATAATTTAAAGTTCATTTTTCAAACATAATAAAATGTTTAGGTAAGTCTGGCTGTGGTGGCTTATGCCTGTAATCCTAGCACTTTGGGATGCTGAGGTACTGGATCACTTGAGGTCAGGAGTTTGAGACCAGCCTGGCCAACATAGTTAAGCCCCGTCTCTATGAAAAAATACAAAAATTAGCCAGGCTTGTTGGTGTGTGCCCGTAGGTCCAGCTACTCAGGGAAGCTGAAGTGGGATAATTGCTTCAACCTGGGAGCGGAGGTTGCAGTGAGCCAAGATCATGCCACTGCACTCCAGCCTGAGTAACAGAGTAAGACCCTTTCTCAAAAAGGAAAAAAAAAAAACAAACACATAGAGAGGCATTTAGCTTCTTGCTAATTTTTTTTTTCCAGTCTTGCAGGGGGAATGTTGGGAGGCATGGAGGAAAATTTAATCTTAGCAGAAGTGAATATGTGGAAGTCTTAAGTTTTTCTCCCTTAGATTGCCCCAAAAGAACAGATTTAAGTTCTCAGTATCTCTGCTTTGTTAATACAAAATTACCTATGAGGATAGATACTGAGAGAGAGGGCACTGTATGAGTGGTCCAGTATTTGGACACACAACTTTTCCCTGCAGTAACCAGAATGAAAGTAATAATTTAATGGGAGCTGACATCATTGCATGCTTACTATGGATAGGCATCATGTTAAATCCTGCATACATCTCATTTGATCCTTCAACCACATGATGAATATGAATCTTAGAGAAGTTAACTATCTTGCCCAAGACCATACACAGCGGATTTGGGTTTTTTTTTTTTTTTAGTTTTTTGTTCTTCTTAGTTCAGAAAGAGAGAGAAAAGGAAGGAAATTTAAAAAAAACTCTTTGTTGGCCGGGCGCGGTGGCTCAAGCCTGTAATCCCAGCACTTTGGGAGGCCGAGGCGGGTGGATCACGAGGTCAAGAGATCGAGACCATCCTGGTCAACATGGTGAAACCCCGTCTCTACTAAAAATACAAAAAATTAGCTGGGCATGGTGGTGCGTGCCTGTAATCCCAGCTACTCAGGAGGCTGAGGCAGGAGAATTGCCTGAACCCAGGAGGCGGAGGTTGCGGTGAGCCGAGATCGCGCCATTGCACTCCAGCCTGGGTAACATGAGTGAAACTCCGTTTCAAAAAAAAAAAAAAAATCTTTGTTAAAATAACTATTGCAGAAAAGGACATCTGGGCTAGATGCTGGGATGTACTATGTTCCAGAATGGTGACTAATGATTTAAACCAAAAAGAAGAAAAAGAAAGAAAAGATAAATAAATTATTCTACTCAGTACTGTTTGGCATAATTGCATTGTTTTTCATCCTTTCAACACTCAAAACAGCCTCTTTGGGAAGCACTGTGATGAGACTGGCAAGAATGGATAGTGCCTTGACTCTCTAAAGGCTGCTAAAGGACCAGACTCAAGCTAAGTTCTCCATATATGAACTTTTAGGGTTGCCCACTGCCCATCCTGATCCTCTTCTAGCAAACTCCCCTGCTGGCCCCTGTTCTGCCAGCTTGCTGCAGCAACCATACCAAGGACCAAGAGGCTGCTTGGTGGTGTCAGCTAAGCAGAAGGGGGTATTTGTCATCACTGTTGAGGCCACACATAGTTGATAAGTCATAAAGCTGATGGTGGGACTCTGCAGCCTGTGTTCTTAGTGTTGCTTCTCCCTTGAATTTAAATCTTGAAGGCAGTGAGTTTTTTGGGCTAAATAAATTCTCATATTTGCCAACCCTTTAAACTTTATATATAGATTTTTCACATTTGTTTCTCACTCTGTTCTCAAAGCATCCACTGCAGTAGGGAAGGAAACTTGAAGTTTCATCTATTGTGCAAAGGTTGGCAAATTTTCTGTATAGAGACAGAGTAAATATTTTCGGCTTTGAGGACCCTGTGATCTCAGTTGCAGCTATTCAGCTTGTGATTGTTACGGGAAAGCAGCCTTAAACAATATGTCAGTTGATTGAGTTGTGGCTGTGTTTCGATAGAGCTTTACAGCCTGGGCGTGGTGGCTCATGCCTGTAATCTCAGCACTTTGGGAGGCTGAGGCGGCTGATTACTTGAGGCCAGGAATTTGAGATCAACCTGCCCAACGTGGCAAAACCTTGTCTCTACTAAAAATAGAAAAAAATTAGCCGGTGTGGTGGCACGCATCTGTAGTCCCAGCTACTCCGGAGGCTGAGCCAGGAGAATCACTTGAACTCGGGAGACGGAGGTTGCAGTGAGCCAAGACTGCACCACTGAACTCCAGCCTGGGTGACAGAGTGAGACTCTGTCTCAAAGAAAAAAAGGAACTTTATTTAAAAACAAAAAAGAAATGGCGGCAGGTGGGATTTGGCCCTGTTTGTAGTTTCCTGACACCAACAGTAATAGACTGATCTATCTGGGGACATCAGGACATGTCAGCCGCAGAGAAGGTGACTTAGGATTCTTAGTGCCAAGCATTGTGCCTGGTTCACTTCCTAACCTTTTCCAAGATGCAACCCATAGTGCCACTCAACAGTACCTTTAGGAGATTTGAGGCACAGTAATAGTGCTAATAACTAATCTTTCTACTAGATGCCTTTTTCTAAGTGCTTTTCACATCTGACATTAATCTGTGGACAGCTGAGTGAGAAGGGCAATTGAGGCCCTAAGGAAAAGAGCTTGCTCAAGGTCACAGAGCTAGTGGGTGGTGAAACTAGGATTTGAACCCGGACAGAGTGGTTCTAAGCATTTGAGCTCAAGTCCTTTACCTTCTCTCTCCCACATTTCAGTATTTCTCAGTTTGAGATCACCTTTGAAGCCTTACTCTTTGGGAACTGCCTCTTCCAAACACTCATATTCAGTGACAAGGTTCTGTGTTCTCTTTTTGAGACGTTTACTTTGGAGCAGAGCTACAAGTAAGGGACTGCTAACTCTGCCAGTTTTCTGTTATAGCTGAATAGTTCAAGGGTGGAGCAAGATCATGCAAGAGGTTTCTTTTTGCTCATCCCTGGGCTACACCAGAGACTTTCAACTGTAGAAACACTTTAATAACAGTAGAGATGATTTTACTGAGTGTCTGTTTTGTCGATACTGTGCTAGGTGCATTAAATATATTATGTTGGTTAAAATCTCACAATGCTGGAAATTAAGCAGTATTATTCCCATTGCACAGATGATGAAAAATTGGGGTTCAGTTATGGATAAGTTAATGAAATCTCCAAGTCTCAGTTTCTTCATTTGGACATTATGATAGTCCTATCTTATAGGGTCGTTATGGAGATTAAATGAGTTAACACATGTTAAGGATTTAGAGCAATGTGTGATCAACTCTATAATCAAGTGTTGCTGTTATTATCAGAATATAGTAGCAATTGTAGAGGTGAAATGCTCACTTTTTATGAGTATTTGCGAATTAGTAATAAGTATATAAGAAGTATTCAGCATAGTGCTTAGGTGTTAATGGATAGAACTTATGATTATTTATAGGAAGAAGCTATGTAAAGCTCTGATCCTTTTAATTTAAAAATACCTCCACTAGTGATGGTTTCAAAATTAAACATTAAAATGTTAAAACTCAGTCTTTTGGTTTTGGTTGTTGTTGTTTGTTTTGTATAAAACTACTCCCTGCAAAAACAGCTCTAGGTATTCCTTTGTTTACTGTAAATTAGGTAGATTAGATTGGCACTAGAGGATAGGTATGCTTGACACAGTAAATGATTTCCAAGGTGCATTTTACAGCCATAAAAGCAGTAACTTAGAAATATGTACATGGGAGTAAAATCATTTGTTCATTTATGTTAAATTTCAATGGTAGCATAATTGTAAAAAAGCTATGTTTTACATATGCATTCTATTATATACCACACATCACTGTGCATATTTTTTGTTATTACATACTTATTTCTCTGTGGAGTTATGTCCAGAACTATGAGGATTCTATGATAATGGCAATTTGTTCAATGTTAACATTAACTATATATACATGATTTTTCTTTAAGTACTGACCTTAGGCTTTAACCCCTACCTTAAGCTGCAACTGAACTCTAATGAAATGCAGAAAGGGAATATTCCCCCCACAAATTAAATAACCAATAATTAACCTTTTCATTTTTTTTTTAGCTCGCTAATCTGTGTGTTAGTAGAAACTAAACCAGTGTTATCCAATTCAAATTTTTTTTGTGACAGTGACATCTGGTGGTTCCTTTTTAATTCTCATGATTTCCCTGTGCTTAGCTGGTTGTTAGAAATTCCAAAGAATCACTGTGTGAACTGCTTTGCTTGGCATTTAACATTAGCTAGCTATTGAGGATCAAGTTAGTCTCACTAATGTGGCTTGAACTTTGAAAAGCTCTGGTTTCTATTTGGATGCAGCTCTTCTCTGAAGAGAACAACAGCCTTCCGTGGATGAATGAACATTTTATCATGTGTGATGGGCAAACAGCTGTCTTGGGAAGGATTTTTCTTTAATTCAGAGAACTTAGGATTTTGAATAAGGGATGGTATCTATGCCAACCTCTTTGCTTTACTCATGAGGAGGCTGGAGTACTGAGAAGCAGAGTGTGTTGGCTAAGGTTTCACTCTGTTAGCCAAGGTCTCCCCATGTTGGCCAAGGTCTCACCATGTTGGACAAGGTCCCCCTATGTTGGCCAGGGTCTCACCGTGTTGGCCAAGCTCTCCCCGTGTTGGCCAGGGTCTCCCATTTTGGTCAAGGTGTCCCCGTGTTGGCCAAGGTCTCACC